TTGGACTGGACCCTCGTAAGCTCCGCGTCGTCTATGTTGATGTTCACCAAGGTAGACGCCTCTCCCGCCGGATTGCCCAGGGAGAAGCGCGTGCCGATTCCCATCACCACGTCGGCGGCCTGTGCATACAATGTGAGCTGGTTATCTCTGTCGATCGCAACGAGGGCTGAACAAAACAGGAGTCCGTTAAGACAGTGGATGGCGTGCCGGAATGGTCCGAGCTGCCACCACTGGACGTAACCACTGGTATGCTTGTCGCCTCGGCCAGCTCGACGAGGGCTTGTTCCGCATCGGAGCGCGCGACTCCGCCGCCGGCGTATATCAGGGGCGTACGAGATCCGGCGATGACCTGAGCGGCCTCCCGAAGGTCTTCCGGGCTGGGCACAATTCGGGAGATACGGGCGGGACTCCGCAGCGCGACCTCCTCCCGCTCCACTCCGGCCTCGGGCGGCATCTCATCAGAACGGGACGTGAGCGGCCGGTGCGCATCTGCCTGAACGCCTCGAACACGGCATCTGGTACTTCCCGCGGTCTGAGTGCCTGCCGCGGCCACTGGTCACGGAGCGCACCGTGCCAGGCTGGTCCGCGATCTCATGAACGGCCCCCAAGTTCTTGCCGATTGCGCCGCGCGGGATCTGGCGGCAATGAGGAGCACGGGCGTGGAGCGCGAGTACGCGTTAGTCAAGCCGGGAGCGGCATTGTAGAGACCCGCGCCCGGAACCACGAGCGCTACCCCCGGTTTTCCAGTCGCGCGCGTGCATAGCGTCGGCATGTATTGTCCGCGGCACTGATCATGCCGACGTGCGTGACACATGCGGATGCCAGGCTCGTCCCGAAGCGCGGCGACGATCCCGTAGATCTGGATGCCCGGGATTCCGAAGACGACCTCGACGCCTTCTCTGACGAGTGATTTGGCGAGGGCTTCCCCTCCGCTCATTTTGACCACGGTCCGCCTCCCTCTATTTGAGCCGACTCTGTAGTCTCTCCAGCGACCCGGCAACAGGTGCTCCTGTGATCCAGCCTCGATGTCCCTCTCGTGTCGCGGTGAAGGGGGACGGTGTTCGCCTGGCGCCTTGTGAGCTCGGTGTCGTCTACATCGAGATCCGCCAGCGCTCGAGTACGGGGCGATCAGGCCTCACCGGGCCCCGTCGTTCCCCCTATCCGGTCACCGCGCCTGTCGAGGCCGACGACGCCAACTTCGCGTACTTCGCCATGACGCCCGAGGTGTACCTCGACGGAGGAGCCGACCACCCTCGGCGGCGGCGCTCCAGCTCTTCATCCGGCACCTGCAGGTTGAGCTCTCGCCTCTCGGCATCCATCGCAATCGTGTCCCCGTCGCGTACCAGGGCGATCGTTCCGCCCACCTGCGCCTCCGGCGCCACGTGGCCTATCATCGGCCCGTGAGTCGCGCCCGAGAAGCGACCGTCCGTGAGAAGCAGGACACTGTCCCCAAGGCCCGCGCCCATGATGGCGCCGGTGACGGCCAGCATCTCCTGCATCCCCGGCCCGCCCTTGGGGCCCTCGAAGCGGATCACAACGACGTCCCCTTCGGTGATATGTCCGCCGGTCACGGCCTCGAACGCCGCGCGCTCGCCGTCGTACACCTTGGCGGGCCCTTCATGCCGCAGGTGCTTCGTCCCAGAGACCTTCATCACCGAGCCCTCCGGGGCCAGGTTGCCCCTGAGGATCGCCAGGCCGCCCGTCGGGCTTCTGGGAGCCGACGCCGGGTGGATCACCTGGCCGTCCGGCTTCGTGTCGAAATCGGCGAGATTCTCGGCGATCGTCCGGCCCGTGACGGTGATTGCGTCGCCGTGGAGCAGGCCCGCGCCTAAAAGCTCGTTCATCACCGTCGGGACGCCGCCGACCTTGTCCATGTCAGACATGACAAACCGTCCCGCCGGGCGCAGGTCCGTGAGATACGGGGTGCGGCGGCTGAGCTTGTCGAAGTCGCTGATGTCCAGTTCAACCTCGGCCTCGCGGGCTATGGCCAGCAGGTGCAGCACCGCGTTCGTCGACCCGCCCATTGAGAGGACGACCATGATCGCGTTTTCGAGCGACTCCCTCGTGATGATGTCTCTCGGCTTCAGGTCGCGCTCCAGAAGACTGTACAGCACCGCTCCAGCGTCGTGGGCAATCTCCTCGTTGCGAGGATCCACCGCCGGTACCGATGCCGCGCCGGGTATCGACATTCCCATGGCCTCGATTGCCGAAGCCATGGTGTTCGCGGTGAACATCCCCGAGCACGCTCCCTCTCCGGGACACGCCACCCGCTCCATCGCGATCAGCTCCTCGTGCGACAGCTTGCCCTGGGAGTGCGCCCCGACCGCCTCGAACATGTCCTGTACGTTGATGTCCTTGCCGAGGTAGTTGCCGGGGAGTATCGCGCCGCCGTAGACGAAGATCGACGGTATGTTCAGCCGGGCCATGGCCATGATCGCCCCCGGCATGTTCTTGTCGCACGCCGCGACCGCGATCAGCCCGTCCATGCTCTCCCCGAAGCAGACCGTCTCTATCGAGTCGGCGATAACCTCACGGCTCACGAGGGACGCCTTCATTCCCTCGGTACCCATCGAGATACCGTCGCTGACGGTTATCGTGCCGAACATGAAGGGCACGCTCGAAGCGTCCCACAGGCCCTTCTTCACCTTCCGGGCGATCCGGTCGAGGTGAACGTTGCAGGGCGTCACGTCGCTCGCGAGGTTGGCCACGCCGATGAAGGGCTTGTCCATGTCATCGTCGTCGAGGCCGACGGCCCGGAGCATGGCTCTCGCGGCCGCCCTTGACGCTCCCTGGCTGACTACGTGGCTCTTGCGCTTGAGATTGGGCTTGACTGCCGTGGTCATAGGTATCTCCCGGCGGGCCGGGGATTATGGATGCTCGGATGGCCCGCGGGTCGATTATACCAACTCGACGGCGGACAGAAGACCGGCGCTGGCTCAGTCTCTGGGCCGGTACCTCTCCACGAGGGCCACAACCCGGTCGTCGACTTTGCCGCTCAGAGGGCGCCCCGCGTCGGACAGGGCGATGCCCAGGTGTGCGTCACGCAAGAGCTGCTCGAAGTCGGGCGCATCGCCCCACTCGGTATTGAGCGCGTCGAACAAGGCCTCCAGCTCCCTCGTTCGGAACTTCAACACTCACGCCACTCCTGATAACGGGAGGCCTTGGAATGCTTACTCACGGCATGCCCTACAGATCCCCAAGGAAGGTTTCTCCGGGATCTGCGCCAATCGTTCCCATTTGGCTCAACCGGCATCATTTACTCTCCAAAAGGACCGAGGCGCCTGACGGGACGCCCTTCAGCAACGTCGGGTCGCCATTCATCCTTCCGACGACGGTGACGGGGCTGGCGGGCGGATTTCGTCACCCCTGCTCATGGGCGTAGGCCCGAAGAACATGCAGAAGGCACTGCCCGGCGGCCAGTATCCCAAGTCTCCGAGCTCGACCACCTCTTGTCCCAACTCCTCGCCGGCCGCGACCGGGATGCCGAAGTATATCTCGTCTCCCCAGGTGCTGGCGGACGCCTCGATGGGCAGGGCGTCCCAGATCATGCCTGCGGTGGCGGTGTCGTTCAGCGTGGCGCTCATCGTAACTGGGCCCGCCGTGATCCTGACTTCACGCTGACTCACGAGTATGGACCTCCTGTCGCGCCCGCTCGGGTCTTTGCTGGTGGATTGTGGAACACACCGCTCTACTCGTACCAGCCCGAGGCGAAGATCAACCCGTCGTGGAGGACCGCCCAGGTGTGCTTCTGCCGCTCGTCACCCGTTTCCGGATTCAGCAGCACGTAGTCGACCCAGCGCCCCGACTCGGTCGCGCCCAGCAAGTCGTCGCCGTAGAAGTATCCCGCGGCGTCGACGCGGAGGCTCGGGTCCCGACCTCGAAACATCGGATTGTGGTGGGCTATGGTGTAGCCGTCCTCGTCGACGATGAAGACGTACCACTGGCCGTCCACGCTCTCCTCGGTGTTGTAGTAGGCCACCGTATCCTCGCGGCCGATGGCGTTGTACAGGTCTATAGCCCGCGCTACGAAGGCCCTGGTGTAAGCGGGGGCGTCTGACTTGCCGGGCCCGCGCTCATACCAGCCCGAGCCGAAGGTCAGGCCGTCGTATTCGACCATCCAGGAATGCTTGGCCTCGGCTGCGCCCGAGGCCGGGTTCGTGAAGGTGTAGCTGAACCAGGCGCCATCCTCGTCGGCAACCGCGACCACCGCTTCTCCAGCGGGGTAGATGTTGGGCCCGACGGCCGCGGAGGCGGGCCGGCCAACGAGGTCAGGGTTGGCGGCGTGGGCCAGCATCATGTCGTCCTGGTCGAGGATGAACATGTACCACTGGCCGTCGACACTCTCCTGGGTGTTGTAGTAGGCGACGGTAGCATCGAGGCCTTCCGAGTCATACCTCCTGATGGCCTCCCATACGAAGTACCTGGTGTACTCGGCGGGCTCCCACTTGGGAGGTGCGGACGCCGGCGACGTGGCGGCTGCGGCGATTCTCGCCTCCGCAATGGCGTCCATGATGCTGGAAAGCACCACGATGCCCTCCATCAGTTCGAGGGTCTGCACCGTTTCCTGGTCGGGGGCGGCGACGGCGGCGGCCTCAAAGACCCTGTGGATTTCGCGGTCCAGGCCGCTCAGCCGCTCCTTGAAGGCCGGGTTACGGGTATTCTCGATGATGAGGTGGATCAGGTTGTCCAGCCGCTCGGTGTCCTGGCTCCGGGCCTCGGACAAGTCCGCGGCCGACAGCTTCTGCAGCTGCTCGATGACCGAGGCGATGGTGGCCTCATCCAGGGAGGCGATGTCGCCCGCGGGACCCGGAGGGCCGGCCGGTCCTGCGGCGCCTGCCGGGCCCTGAGGCCCAGGTTGCCCTTGTTTCCCCGGAGGCCCGGCGTCTCCCTGGCAGGCCACAATCGACAGGACAAGGGCAAAGAACAGGGTTGCTGCGAATAGTGCGCGCATTGTCACATCATACGGTATGGGTTGTCGTTGGCGAAGAGTTTAACTGCAATGCGGCTGACTTACCATGGAGGCCTGCTTTTCCAGCCTCCAGTGTATGCGGGACCGGTCGAGCCTTTGAGTTCTTCCCCTATCAGGGGAGCGCCGTGGCGCCCCATGACAAGAAGCTTGGCACGCGTTCTCATTAGTGGCTGTGATTCGCGTGGGACTGATTGTTGAACGTCTCCAGACACGAATGTTTCAAAGACAGGGTTGTCAAGCGACTGTCATGCTCGCGCGTACCCAGTTTGTCGAACCTACCTGCCCGCTGGCTGTCTACAGTCTGGTTCCAAGCGCCAGGCAACGAGACTGACGCCGCGCTTATCTCTCCGGGGTCTCGCCACCGCCAGGGGCTTTGGATTTCGCTGAAAATGATGCAAACTGCTGCATTTTGTGGGATCTCATAGCTGGAGGCTCCGATCTGGTCAACGGATTTGCACCACCTTTGCAACGGGAACGCGGCAGAAATGCGATGGTTCCGCAACGATATTGCAACAGGCGCACCCCACGGCACCGGTATAAGAGGGAGGGATGGTGGTTGGCTGGTGATGGGTCATAAGGATATTATGCGGACAGACGTTCTGGTTGTCAATAGGCTCGAGAATAACTGTCATGCTCTTGACGACCTTCAACCGGCACAACATTACTGCTATTGCATCTCATACCATGCCACCCACAAGATTTGTGCCGTAGCGGTATATCTGCGCCACAAACATGCGGGCCGTGCAAGACATCAGGACTGGACCTTTCCCGTCGCGCGCAGCAGAGTCTCCTGAACGAGCAGCTCGTGGTCCAGCGAGCGGTCGGGCGCTTTCTCTCCGCGCAGGTCCTTTACGAAGGCTTCGAGGCTCGCCACGTACCGTCTCCTGTCCTCGAGCCTGATCGTCGAAACGCCGGCCGGGAAGCTTCCGGACGGCTCGGCCAGGCACAGCCGCATTGTGTCCGCGGGCTCGTACGGCTCCATGATGGCCGATCCCCGGTCGCCGTACACCTCGAAGCGCCGCGCCGGCGGGTGGGGCTCCATCGCCGCTATGTCGATCGTCGCCATCGCCGACTCGTACTCGAAGACCGCCAGGCCATTGTCGGTGAACCCCTCGACGGTCGACACGTCGCGGCGCATGAACGACGTCACCCTGTCCGGCCTTCCGAGAATCCAGACGATCTGGTCGAGCACGTGTCCAGCCAGGTCGTAGAACACGCCCCCCGGGTGCACCGAGATCCTCCTGTGCGCCTCGGCGTCTATGCTGGTCGACATGTGGGCCCTGATTGCGAAGACGTGGCCCAGGAAGCCCGACCTGGCCCACTCGGCAATGCGCGAGAACCCATCGTGGTACCGGAACATGTAGCCGAGCTGTATCAGCAGGCCCTGTTCTTTCGCCTTGGCGACCACACGCTGGAAGTGGGGATAGTCGTCCCCCGCGGGCTTGTCGTAGAAGGCGTGTTTGCCCGCGTCGATGATCTCCTCGGTCTGGGCCAGGCTCTCGGCGTTCAACCCTTCGGAGGACACGGCGACGATGGTCGGGTCGTCGAGCACTTCGGACCTGTCGAGCCACCGGACGGCCGACCAGGGCATCTCCCCCCGGCGCCGCAGCTCCTCGCGCCTCGCGGCGTCGGGTTCATGCACGCCGACGACCTCCACGTCCGGGTTCTCCAGCATGACCTGGAGGACCCCCTCCGCGTGGCCGTGCTTGGTCCCGTACTGGGCCATCCTGATGGGCTCGACGCCGTTGCTCATGGCGGCACCTCCTGGCGGTTATATGCTGATCGGCACACACTCTACAACGTGCCCATTCTACCGGGCACGCCATAGCCCGTGCGCATCACACGTAGAGTAGAGGTGGTCGAGCTCAG